TTTCGCTTTTGATTAAAATTAATATGTCAAGATACACTGCCCTTCCTTCGGAACTTATTTTTCTAACGGGACTAGTTCATTAAATCATCGAATTTCGAAGGAAGGGCAGTGTATCTTGACATATTAATTTTAATCAAAAGCGAAACAAGCTTGTTCTGTTGAATCCCTCTCTGGAACAAAAATGTGAAAAAATTGGATAGAAGGCTCTTCAGAACCGAAATTGGTAGGGGAACTTCCGGTTATCAATTTTTCGTTCTTGATCCATGTCCTCATAACTTGATTGCAGCGTGAATAGACCAGCTAGCGATAGGAAATGAGCCCCGGGTCAGCCCAGGTATGGCGATCGGCCACAGATCTGGTGAACAAAAGGCTAATTACCTTCATACTGCACCAAGATCTGAGATACGTCTGGTGAGCACAGCGCAGTTTGTGGGAGCACAAAATTAAGTCATTGAAGTTTCTGAGTGAAAGTCCAACAGCTACAAGGTGCTGAACTAGGGCACAAGACAGAACGTTTGACGCCTCCCAGCACTCATACTTGCCATCACGCTTACCGAGCTAGTGTGCTAACCATTACACCACCTACCAGAACGTATCATTGGGTTGTATTCGGTCGTTGGGAGAAGAGTTGTAGTTGCCTCCGAGAGGATTTTTTTGATGGTTTCTCTCGCGTAACACACGCTAACTCGCCCCTCCACTAACTGACGGCGCAGGAAATCTCTAATAGTTGATCGGAGGTTTTCCACCTAGGCCGCGTTCATAGCTTGCGACCATGAAGAAATGCAGAAATGCAGAAATGCGGAAACTGCAGAAGTGCGGAAAGTGCAGAAATGACGAAAAGCATTACGTATCGATTTGAAGAAATGCAGAAATGCCGAAAGTGAAGAAGTGCAGGAATCTGCGGAAAATGCAGAAGTGCGGAAAGTGCGGAAGTGCGGAATCTGCAGAAATGACGAAAAGCAACCGATACGTATCGATTTTCCGCACTTTCTGCATTTCTGCAGATTCCGCACTTCTTCACTTTCGGCATTTCTGCATTATTTCTTCACGGTCGCAACCTATGAACGCGGCCCTACTCCCCCCCCCCCTTCCCGTTAGCTCCCATTCGACGGTAAAGTTCCGGGAGAGTTTGTAAGGTGATACGTGGGTCGAGCGAGGAAGTCGCATCAAATGGACTGACATCGCCATATCACCCACCAGTATGATGTGCGTTGTCGCCACAGCTGATTTTAAAAATGAGGGAGTGAGGGCGGTCTTGGTAGAGATCATACTGAAGGTTGTACTTCGTGACTCGAGTAATTCAGTCGCGCGGCTTGGGATCTAATTGTAAGTGCTGAACCTGATCACTGGCTCCAGCTATCGAAATAAGTACTAGAACCTCACAATCAGGACTATTTAATACGATATTTGAGGAGCTAGAGGTCCAGGTTGTTGCCATTGTGTGAGAAAGAGTTATACCCATTGGTCTGCACTTTTCCGGTTACTTTCGAACGCATTGCCTTGAAGAACATCAAATGACTGAAAAAAATATGTCGAGCAGGTTTGTCTCATAAACTCCATATCTCAGAAATGGGGAGGGGTGGTATAAATGCGTATTTCACTGCACGTGGCGGTGACTGCGCTCCTTCTGAGATGTTTTCCTTTTGGGACATCCAACATAAAACAAAATGATACTAGTCTGAAATGGAAATATCCCAACGCATCCTACGCCATCCCAGAAGAAAACTGCCGCCACGCCCTCCACCACTTCCGGGGTATGGAATGTAGGTTCTGCGGATATTCTTATCTGTATTACATAAAAAGCAAAATATGTCCTATGTATAAACTTCATAGACCTTTGACTAGAGATACATGTAAGACTTAGTAATTTCAGAAGAGTTTGTTCATTCGAAACAAGGCAAAGATAGTCAGCAGAGATAATATGCACGTTTCTATCTACCGTATCCTTCCGCTAATCATTCAAAATCTTTCGCTACGATGCACAACCGCGATTTTGATGGCGTTTCACATGCATTTCGCCCTTGTGCATTCTTATGTACAGTACTTGTGATGTGAGAAGCGCATAGCCGTACAAGAATAGGACAAGATTGGTCCTTGAAATTTCGCTAAGTAGATTTATTCGCACCCCTCGTACGCACTTCCGAGGAATCATCAGTAAGTGCTCTTGGCAATAAGAACGCTCCAGGGCAATACGCATGGCTCGTCGGGAGGTTTGCTGTTCACTCCGCCAACCGAAGGTATGTACCACTATACTAAGTGGTCAAACGTCGGTCTACCCCCACTCCCCTTCCCGCACACGATGGGAGTAAGGGGTCCGTGAATCCTACACTCCCATGGGGCTTCTTGTCAGTCGACTGATATAAAAGGAGGAAAGATAGGATCATTCTGGTATAGGGATTCGACCATGCGGCATGCAGGAACGCGCTATTATCAAATGCTACCAATTTTATGATGACCACACGACGCCATGCCAAGGGAATCATCAAGATAAACTACACGAAAGACTGCACATTGTTGATTGTGGCGTTCAGTCATAGACCTATAGTCGTTAAGTAAACCTCCAGAAAAAAAGCCAAAATAAACTGGACAATACTCTGTTTAAGGACCGCAGCCTCTCTGGACGAGTTCTCCTGACCTGCTCGTTTTACGCCGGCAAAGCGATATCATGCCGCTTCTGGCTCACTGATCATTTCTTCGCGTCATTTAGTGCCATCTAACAGTGGAAAAAAACGAAAAACACGGTGTAAAACTGAACTCGCGACAAAAGGCGTTGGAACTGCCACTTATAAGAGCGCCTTTGTTTTACTGTGAAGGCGCAAAGGTATAATAAAGGTATAAGGTATAATCCCAGTATAAAGGTATAAGTATAAAGGTGTAACGTATAATCCCAAAGACTGAAGGCCAGGCTACTTGTGCAAGAAAGGACGCCTACGGATTCGTTCAGCGGAGAGCTACTTGTAAGGGAGAAGAAAGAAGGTCTAATCTCGGGGACGAGACGGGTTACTGAACTCAGGTTTTGGCGAAGTGATTTGCAGTAACGTGGTATTGTTTAAGAAAGCTTTTGGAATGAGCTCACTTGGCCGTCGAAGTTTTGTAGGAGTGATCAAGGGCGCGGAAAAATGGCGGAAGTGACTGCGAGTGATCGAAAAGGTGTACCTGGACCTGCAAAGCAAATATGAATTCTATGGTGGGCCATAGCGAATAGGTCTTACCTGAAGCTCAAGTTCCGGTAACAAGCAGCTCAAGATGTTCTCACTTCGGCGCAACTCAGTCGTGCACGAACGGAATCGTCGTCGAGGCGACCGATAGACTCGCCTGAAAATTATATTTGCAGATGTCGTTCTTGACTTCGAAAAAGCCTGGAATACAGGAAAAAACCGTTCAAAAGCTTGGAATAAAGGCTTAGAATACATACAAAATACATAGCATCTATACTACCTCCTAATAACATCAGTTTCCAAAGTGAAAACTCCTCAGTACACGACTCCGACGATCTTGACGTTCGAGGTCAAGAGCGGTGAGATGCAAGTGACTTTCAAATTTCATTGCTAAGATTGGATAATGTCAGATCAAGTGTGGCCTAATACAGGTATAACACGATGCAAGTCAAGTGCATTTATTTGAAATCGTAGATTATTGGGGATGAAGCAAGTTCTGGATTTCCAGATGCCGAGAACTACTACTGATCACGGCATAAGCTCGAACTGCCTTGCTCACCCAAAAACTCCGTTTCACTCTCTTAACTCTGAGTTAAAGTCCGACATAAATTTCCTAGAGATTTTGGTTTTTATGCCAACAAGAGTGGTGATATATTGACGTCTTTGAAGATCCAGAATTTGAAGATTTCTGGAATGTTTTTCGTTCTTAACCGCCCACTCTCAGAGCCGCAGTTGCATTTTCGTCGCATAATACCTTCACGAAAATCAGGGTGGATGGGCATTTGACTACTATAAAAGAAAAACCCCTACGATTGCATATTGTGAATAGCGGTGTTCAACTCAGGGCACATCATTGGTTGGGGATTTTAGTCGAGTCTGTACGACCCCCTTTTTTGAGGGTTGGTACGACCCCCCCCCCTCCGGCCCTCTGTCCCTCCTCATCGAATCGAGCCGTCGAGCGGGGGGAGGGGGGGGTGGGGGGGGGAGGGTAAATAGCACATGTGAAACAGGAAAAGTCGCAAGACAATACGACCCCCCTCCCAACAATGACCAGTACGACCATGCCCCGCCCCTTTACAAGGTCCATAGAAGCGCAAAAAAAATCACTATCAAGTAATGTTTTTCCGACACCGCACTACTCACAACAACCCCCCGCCTTCTCCTCGGTGGCACACCCACAAATCTGACCTACCTCTCGCGAGCGATCGCACACTCACACACAAACACGCACTCGCTCCACACACTCAGGTTGCATCCCTCGACAACCACACACATAGTCGCTCGCTCACCTGCTCTCTTACGCCGCGGGAAAATGCCAAAAAGAAACCATGAAGACCACCTAAGTAACCGCCGAAACCCCCCTTGGTAGCTCACACCGTTTTCTTCTTTTCTCCGGGTCTGCTCATTTATGCCAGCAAAGCGATATCCTGCCTCCTCTAACTCACCAGTCCTTTCTTGGCAATGCGAATGCCATCTAATAAGGGGGAGAAACGAAGAAAACGGTGTAAAAACTGAACTCGCGCTAAACAATGGCCTTGTCAATAGAGTTTTCGTGGGCGGGACAACTAGGGAGGCGTCAGAACTGCCACTTCTGAGAGCCGTAGCGCCTTCCTTACTTTCTGTGGAATCTCTAATACGAAAATCTTGAAGGCTGCGGGTGAATACTTGAACAAGCAAGGGCCCTCACGATTTTGTTCAACGCGGAACTGTCTTCAGGTACATTTTTCTTACGACTCTTTGATTCGGAATTCAAATTGTAACCAGGAGTTGGGAGTTGAATCTGGAAAGAGGGGGTAGGGTATTTACTGGCTTCAACGTTAATCGCATGAGTGATGCATCAACTTCAGAAGACATGGGTATCCAGGGAATTTATAGTGCTTCAAGGTACCGTGGGGCTAAAGCGCCTTTAGGGGGTATAAGACGCTGAGCGCGAATACAATCTGAATCGCTGATGCACAACTTGTTATGAGCTCGCAGTTATTCTGACGTCTCTTTCACTCTATGCACACCGAAATGGATTAATCTCCGTGGAAACGAAGCAACTCATGATGAAAATACGACTGATACGGAGCACTACCGAGTGGGTAATTGATGAGGATTGGAGGGATTCTTTTGATAGCCGAGGGCGATTGCGATTCTGCGAGGCTTCCCTAAAGTGTGCAAAAAAAATCCGGCAAGTGAAACTCAATCAGCAGAAGGCATTGAGCCTCACTTTCCAGAGCAAGTGCAGTCCCCTAATTGATAGAGGCTCGCTCGAATTGCCCAAAGCGGCAAATTCTTGGAAAGAAAGCTATCTGAAGTGCTGAAGAGTGAGCGCTGCTCGCCTCGATGAGTGGTAAATAGCTCCAACAAGTAGGAAGCCAAAGAGGCTGCAAAGATTAGAGACGGAACGCAATATAGGAACGCCTTCTTCATGAGCTGCCGCCAAGCCCATCTTATTCTGTCGGATTCAATCCGGCTAAGAGGAGGATTGCCAAGCAATATGAGCTGGAAAAACTCTAAAAAAAGCCTCATATGCAAAGGATAAATTGTGAAGTGATTGATGGAAATCTATCGAGTAATGAGTGAGTGGGCACGCTTTTGCTTCCATGTTGAATCGTGCAAATATTTCAGCAGATATTCGGCCAAGACGACGGGACCAGCACAGAGATTTCATTTTATGCTCTAAAACAAGTATGGTATTGATCTGTCGACCAACCAGAAGGGAGTGCCGGCACTGTTCGCCCCTGCCGCCCCACTACTCAAAGTTCGAGCCACATTCTGATCGAATTTCTTCATTGGGCGTAAATCTGGCTAAAGTTTGGAATAGTCTGCCCCCGTGCACACAACTATCGCGACCTATTGAGGCGAAAGAGCCTGGCTGCCATAGGTGCTGCAGGTATCAGCACCACAGGTGTTACTTTTGCTGCACGAATCAGGTGTTGTCGTACCACGCTAATATGATTTTCGTGTCCGGGGATGTAAGCTACGAATCAGGTGTTGTCGTACCACGCTAATATGATTTTCGTGTCTGGGGATGTAAGCTATCCCTAGGACAATTTTACAGAAAATTTTGTTTTATGGAGTGTCTCGACGCCAGCGTCTGAAGCGAGAGCGCCAGGCGGTTTTGGGCGAAGCGGATGTTATTCGTGTTCAGGATGTAGTAGCCGCAGAACAACAGTCTAGTAAACCCTTTTCTCGGGAGGGTGGCAGGAAGGGATTTCGACTAGAATCTGGCTTGAATTACAAGGAGAATCTGGCTTGAATTACAAGGAGTGGTGCACCAAAAAGTGAAGCGTGCCCCATCTTCCTACCGCTTTTCTTTTTGTGCTAACGAGACCTCTTGAGAGCGGACCCTTGTCGTCATGTCGTCATATGCGAGGAGCGGGCCTCACTTTCATGATTCCATTGGCGCGCTCCTCCTTTCTACGATGGTGAAGAGTAAACTTGTGTCAGTTGAAAGATAGCCCGATCCGGGTATGCCCTACTTTGAGGAGCCCACAAACACCCCAGCGGAGAGTCGTATTCCCTCGCTGGGGTGTTTGTTCTGAGGGAATCTTTTTTGTAGGCGGTTTGTTTTACGGGACTATTCACAAGGTATATGACAAGTGAATCGTGATTTGCCGCGCCGGGAGGGACGAGTTCTGCCTAGCCATTCGAATGTGACGGGACAGGATGTTACACTGAGGATGCTGAAGTGTTTCGGTGCGCCATATCGTCAGCCATCACAGCAATAGATGGTGTAGGAAATGGCAGAAACACGTGAAATTATGCGGAAAATATGGGAAGAAATATGCAACGATTCTCAGAAATTTCGCTCCCCCAGTCGAGATACTGACAAACAGTTTGAAGTTCCCGTTTTCGGTGCGGCTTGGCGCCCACATTGAGAATTTCCCGCGCTCATCGCCGGACGGTGCGGCGCGCGACGGCGCGGCAAATTACGATTCTCTTGTCCGTCTCCTCTAATTCACATCGTTGGGAGAACCCCAGTGAGGAGGTCGTATTTGTCCGCCGGTGGGAAAAGGCGGGCGGGGGGCTATTTTTCGGAAATTTTCTGCAGGACTTGCCCTGATCCCTACCCTGAAACGTTCCTGAAACGGGGTCGGCCTCATTCAGAAACCTCGGTCTGACGCATGCAGGCGCTTCGTCTCTTGGAGGTTCATGGGGGCATTTTACAGTGCCGTCCCAGACGGTTCCAGCAGGTCCAAGTATTTCTCGTACACGCGACCCATCACCCATGTCACGTCCTGCAAGGATACCCCCATTTTTGCACAGTCTCCTTATGCATCCGCGGAGGGGGAAATCTGACCATGAGGAGAATCGCTAAACGAAAAGTAGATGTTGTTGATGAAGACTGATTATTGGAACTTTGGTTCGTAGCGAGATGGCACAACAAGAGACTAGAGAGGTTACCTAGGTAACTTGGGTTATTTACCATAATGTAAAAACAAGAAGTAACAAAGTACTCCTCCCAAAAGCGAGCTGAAACTAAGATGATTCGGTCAACAAAGGCTGTGTTTCCGGGCCTTGCGCCTCGGCATTCACATAATCAGTGTGCGGGTCACGAAAGCGGCAGCACGCAAAAAATAACTCGACGCTCGAAGTTTCTTTAGCGGGAGAATCGGTTCCCTGTATTACTTTGTTTTCGTGCTTGCTTCCGGCTAATTAGGTCCTGGAGCAAATACTGGGCGAGCGACACCACAATATCAACCCATCGGACAGTTGCGTGACGTTGGGAGTGTCTTGTTGTTCATTATAAACCCGGAGGAGAAACCACTATCGAATGCACGAGCTTTGCCATAACTCATCTTCCCAAACAACACCGTTCCCATTTTGGTGAACGATAAAGGGTTCTATGATGCGCTCAGTCGATGTACGGTAGCACACCCCCTAATGTAGAAGAATAAATTCAGTACGAGTTGTACCCACTTTTCAGGAGATACTCTCCTTGGCAGTTACCGAAATCATGACTCTTTTTTCTTACATGACTTTCGCACAAGCGTTTATTTCTCAGCCATACATTGTCCATGCATTGCGGCAGCGTCCACCAGCGTCTGCCAGCGTCTAGAGAGTTAGCGAAGTAAAGAGGAATAGATATCGATTCAGCGTCTGTCAGCGTCCACCACCACCAGGGTCCACGGCGACCGGGAGTAGAGAGTATGGGAAAGTAGAAGAGTAAAAGAGCTAGATTAGGCGTCGTGAAATAGCGGCGTGTGCAACCACACTGCACCACACCGTAGACAATATTGCATAACCTGTGCTTTAGCAGATGTGCT